AATGCTTGATCGTACAAGTGAAAAAGTTGTTCATATAGATTTTGGTAGAGCAACGGAAGTAACTGGTATTGATGGAACATTTCGTATGCCATATGAATATGTTATGGATCCCAGGTGAAACAAGCCCGGTCGTAAACGGCCGTTTTTGATCGTATTTGACCCGTTTGGTATGCGCCGTAATACGACCGTATATCACCGTGCCGTATACAATTAGAAACGGTGAAAAACGGTTGGAAAATCCAGTATTCGATCGTTTACGACACGGCGATATACGGCCGTAATACGGCGCATACCAAACGGGTCAAATACGGGCAGTTTACGGCCGTATCCTTATCATTAACGGTCGTTTACGACCCGCTCACGGTCATCGTAATGCTGGATTTGGGTAGCCTAAATATTTATTCGTTTTCATCCATTCAATTGAGTGGTCAGCACATTTTAGGTCGAACATCGGGTTTTGGTAGCCCACCATTCCTGAAGACCACATAACTTGAGTTTTTGAATGACTAATAAGTTGAACGACTAGAATCGAATAATATTTCAAATGATCAATGAAAGAATACGTCGTCGATTAAGATCGACGCATTTTTCACTATATCTAATCCACATTTGATCGGCAATAACAGCTGCTAAATGATCGCCAATGAAACTGGGCATGACCATCGGAGGAAATTCTCATCCCTATATCAACATGGTATGTGATGAAAAGGGTCGGAGTAAAACTGGACTCTTGTGCTCCGTCTGGTCTGCTTGGAGAGTGAATGAAAAGAAGACCAACCAACTGGTGCAAGCGCTCATACCCTGCTATAGTCACACAAATATCAACCCCCAACGATGAAAAGAGTGCTCATATAGATAAGAACAGCCATTAGTTGAAAAAGAAAGTCGATGCATGCATATTTTCTCGTTAAATACAAATAACGTCCGTTGCCGTGACTCACTTGATCCTGGACCGAACGAGGGTGTGGGTGTGAGCCTTGATATGTATATGTATGTCTTTTCCCTCAATACCTACACCCACACCCACACACCCTCTACTTATTGTTAAACAAAAATAATAAACTCTTTTTATTTTCAAATAACCTTTAAGGGTTTAGTATTGTATGTTTTTTTTACAATGTGCTGCTCTATATATGATGTTGTCTAATCAAGATTTTGACAAAGAGATTATAACAAGAAAATAACAATGAAAATGACAGTACGAGTCCACATCACATTCTAATTCGACTTGAATTCGAAATTTATCTCAATGCTGACAATACTGGAAAAAATAATGATTATTCATTTAAAACTTCTTTTCCCCCGATATATATTTTACGAGATATTAACGTTGATATACGATCGTAAAATTCAAAGTGTTGTAAAATCTTTTTCTTTTCGTTATTCTCTACAACGTTGTTATCACTAGAAATGACTAGGTAAAATTTATTATCAAATGTCAATAAAAGAATATATATGCATCTTGTGTTGATATCGAAAACATGTATCATATGTCTTACTGAATAAAAACGAAAATGAGCCAAAAAGGAAAGCAATCTACAATTGAAAACTATTTCATCTTGTGGGCACATGGCAACACGGATCCAACAAGCCAAGCTTGCCAGAATGTACTAGAGAAATTACAAGGTGTTACTAACGAAGTGAAATCGTGTACTACGACAGAAGAGTGTATCCAAGTTCTTAGTGAAAATAAATTTAAGTCTGCATTCATCGTATGTTCCGGTGGATTTGGTCAACATCTCATGCCAGATATCCATAACATGGAAAACGTATATGTCGTATACATTCTTTGCGGGAACAAGCAACGATATAAAGCTTGGGCTAAAAATTGGACGAAAATAAAAGGAATTCATATCTCAATAAAGACAATATGCGAAGTTCTAGTAAAGGCCATCAAGCAATACAATGAAAACAACATGTCGTTCAGTGTAATTAATGAAAACGAAGCACGTTCCATAGACAATCTTCAACGACTGGAGCCTACTTTCATGTATACACAAATATTCAAAGAAATACTCCTTGATATGAAATATAGCGAGCAAGCAATTAAAGATCTTTCTAACTTTTGCCGAGAATTATACAAAAACAATGATACTGAAATGAAAATTATTAATGAATTCGAATATACCTATCAATCATCCAAGGCTATCTGGTGGTACACACGTGAGTGTTTTACTTTTAAAATGCTCAATGCTGCATTAAGAACGCTGAACGGTGACATCATAATACGAATGGGTGTTTTTCTTTGTGATGTACATCGACAGATCGAAAAGTTATACAAAGATCAGGTCAGTCAATATAACGGCGAATCCTTTCGAGTTTATCGTGGTCAGGGTTTATCCAAGGCTGATTTCGACAAACTTGAGAATAGCAAGAATGGACTGCTGTCCTTTAACAATTTTCTATCGACCAGTAGAAAACGGCAAATGTCACTAGGCTTTGCCGATAGTGCTTCAAGAACAGCCGGTATGGTTGGTATTCTCTTTGAAATGACGATAGATCCTACTATCCAGTCGAGCCCGTTTGCATCGGTTTGTGACGTCAGTGATTTCGTAGAAGAAGATGAAGTACTTTTCTCGATGCATACAGTCTTTCGTATCATTGATATAAAAAAGCTTGGTGACAAACATCCACTTTATCAAGTCGATGTTAAACTTACATCAGATGATGACAAAGAGCTTCGCCAATTGACTGAACGTATAAGACAAGAGTCTCCTGGTCCAACTGGATGGACACGATTGGGCAGGCTACTATTGAAAATAGGTCAATATGATAAGGCAGAAGAGTTATATATGGTACTGCTGGAACAAGCGTCTACCGAGAGTGATAAAGCAACTATGTTTCATCAGCTTGGAGAAGTAAAAACGTATCGAGGTCAATACAAAGAAGCAGCTTCGTATTTCGAACAGTTTTTCGAAATACATAGAAAAAGTTTTGCAGAAGATGATCCTTCGTTGGTTACTTTTTATACTAATATTGGAGAAGTATACAGAAAAAGCGGTAATTACATAAAATCACTTGAATTTCAAGAAAAAGGATTAAAAATTTTCGAGAAATGTATGCTTCTGAATCATCCTTACTGTGCACCTTCTTATAACAACATTGCTAGTACATATAAAGATATAGGTAACTACGAGAAAGCACTTGAATATTATCACAAATTCAACAGTATCCTAGAAAAGTCACTGCCGATTAACCATCCGAATTTAGCTATTTCAAACAACAATATCGGTACGGTTTATAGCAGTATGGGTAACTACCAGAAGGCACTTGAATTCTATGAAAAAGCGCTTAAAATTAGGGAAATAGCACTACCACCGAATCATCCTTCATTGGCTACGTCTTATAGTAATATTGGTGGACTTCATGCAAAAATGAGCAACTACCCGAAGGCAATCGAATATTATATGAAAGATATAGAAATATCAGAAAAAGCTCTTCCAAAAAATCATCCAGATATTGCTGCTTCATACACTAATCTTGGTATTGTGTACAATGAAATCGGTGATTATTCGAAAGCATTGGCATCTCATGAGAAAGCTCTGACAATATTAGAAGTTGCGCTAACTCCCGATCATCCATTATTGGCTACTTCTTATAACAACATTGGCACAGTGTTTGCGAACATCAATGACTACTCTAGAGCATTGGAGTATCTGGAGAAAAGTCTAAAAATAACAGAACAAACTATGCCTTCGAATCATCCCGATTTAGCTGCTTCATACATTAACATAGGTACCGTGTCTAAAAATACGGGTGACTATTCGAAAGTACTCGCATTCTACGAGAAAGCACATCAAATCTATCAACAAGCGTTCCCAGCGAACCATCCGTTGTTAGCCGTGTCCTACACTAATCTTGGTTCCATACATCATGATATGGGAAATTCTAAAGAAGCTCTCAAGTTTCTTCAACATGCTGTTCTTATATTTCAAATGACTTTGAGACACAATGTGTTAGATGCTGCTGTTACCTACATGTGGCTTGGAAAAGTCTATCGCAGTATAGAAGATTACTCACGCGCCTTGGAATACTTCAAAAAATGTCTTGCAATATTTCGGAAAACTTTACCAGAAACACATCCTCATCTAGCTCTTGCCTATACCAACATAGGTGATATTCATCGATTAATGAAAGACTACGAAACTGCCCTTTCGTTGCATCGACAGGCATTAGATATTCAAGAGAATGTCCGAGACAATGCTCTTGACCGTGCATTAACGTATATCAATTTAGGAGAGACCTATGTGGATATGAAAGATTATTCAACAGCTTTAACATATTTCGAAGAAGCCTTTAAAATACGCAAAAACAAGCTACCAAAAAATCATCCTCATTTAGCCATAGTTTACCACAGCTTCGCAAAATTATTTTTAATGACTGGTAACTTTAGTATGGCAATGAAAAATGTTAGACAAGCAATAGACATTGCTCAAATGAGATTGTCTTCAACTCATCCTCACTTGTTGGAGTACCAAAAGACATTCCAACAAATTCAAACGAAGTTATAAAATGCTCATTAGGTTTTTCAAATTGACTAATAAACTGCTAAGAGATTAACTATTCCTTCGATTCCTTTGCATGAATAAAAAAGAGAGATTCAAACATCTATTAGAATCATGCTAAACTAGTCAATTTCCTAATTATCACCAATGAAAATTGATAGTGTCAATATACAGCTTCTGGTCAATAACTAGATTCAAAAGTCGAAATCTAGCAGTATTATATCAACCAAACGTGTAGTTGAGTCTAGTAACGCAAAAATCTGACTGAAAATTATATAAGGTAGGAATTTGCATCCATATTCTGTCAATAAGAACTTATCACGCGGTGCTAAAAAAATCTCATCTAAATAGTAATCAATTGAATTTGGCAATAGTCCATGAAATAAATTCGATATCAGAAAACCTGAATCTTTTCTCACAAAAAATGTTCTTAATCAGGGTGTGGGTGTGGGTGTGGGGGTGTGGGTGTGTGGGTGTGGATGTGGGTGTGAGTGTGAGTGTGGGTGTGGGTGTTGGTGTGAGTGTGGGTATGGGTGTGAGTGTGGGTGTTGGATGTGGGTGTGGGGGTGGGTGTGGGTGTGGGGTGGGGGTGGGGGTGAGGATTTTGCCTTCA